TCTGGATGGAAGCAGATTGGGAAAGGTTGATATAGGTAATAAGGGAAAAGTAAAGGACCCTTGGATGGTTAAGTCCAGTAAAAGCCGACTATGGGGTTGCAGCACTCATCTCGCTTTCAGGCCAAGGGAGCCGGCGTTTGTCCACAGACAGCTTTCTGGGTCATGTGGCCAGCATGACTAAACCACTTCTGGTGCAACGGAACACCGTGATGGAAACCAGAGCGCACAGAAACACCATTTACCTTCCCATCACAGTGGTACCTATTTACTTGTGCTGATATGCTTTCGAACTGCTAGCTTGGCAGGAACTGGGACAGAGCAACGGGAGCTCACCCCGTTGTGGGGATACGAACCGCCAACCTTCCAATCGGCAAGCCCAAGAAGCTTAGTGGTTAAGACTAGTGGTCTAGTGATGGACTAGTAATGGTAGTATCATGCATCCATGCACACAAAATCCTCAAAAGCTTTTGCAAATGCAAATAAAAGGGTTGCACACTTTGGTTGAAAGATAAATGCCATCTGTATAAATGAAATTCTTTGTAAGACATTAAAGGTTGCTTGGAAACCCCCCTATGGCAGGATTCTATCCTTTGGATGCAGGGTGCACAAACACTTTATCCTCTATAGCAAGGTGTACCTCACCCTTTCATCTCTCACACAAACACCTCTCCAAAACCTCAGATTACAGCAACTAACACAAGGAAACACATTAAAGGCCAATAGCAGGTACCTAAGAGAATGCTTGTGAAGCAAAATGCCAGAAATCTCAAGGAGGATTTTCAATTCCAGATACAAAAAAAACCCCAATGTAGTAAAAAGGTAAAGGTACCCCTGCCCGTACGGGCCAGTCGTGACCGACTCTGGGGTTGCGTGCTCATCTCGCTTAAGAGGCCGGGAGCCAGTGCTGTCCGAGGACACTTCCGGGTCACGTGGCCAGCGTGACGAAGCTGCTCTGGCGAGCCAGCCGCAGCGCACGGAAACGCCGTTTACCTTCCCGCTATAAAGCGGTACCTATTTATCTACTTGCACTTAAGGGAGCTTTCGAACTGCTAGGTGGGCAGGAGCTGGGACTGAACGGCGGGAGCTCACCCCGCCGCGGGGATTCGAACTGCCGACCATACGATCGGCAAGTCCTAGGCACTGAGCTTTTACCCACAGCGCCACCCGCATCCCTCCCAATATAGTAGGTCAGGGCAATTAAGATGCTCCATCAAAAAAGGCACTGCCTGACTCTTCACCACAGCCTTATGACCAAGTCAATTACCCTTTGGGTGGAAGTCCAAGTTGTGATCCAATGTGAGATGAGTCCGCCCATCTTGGCTACCCACAAACAAAACTGATCCTTGTTGAAAAAGAAGGCATGTATAGACATAATATGTACAAATGCAAACACCTGACCCTAGATGGAAATGGTCACCGTGAAATATCTGATACATCTGGAGCAAGCACATGATCTGCACTGATCAGCTTTCATTGTTACCAAAAATTCACATTCCACCATCAAAGACAGAAATTACAGCCTGAGTTTGACCTGAATGCGTTCCCCACCCACCTGCAAAATATATTGCATTTGGAAATCTGTTAAAAAAGCACGATCAAAGATTCTTTTAAACCAAAGCAAGAAAGCTTTGGAGATTTCATTGCAATTTTTAAAAAATCAGGTCCTCTCTTTAATTGTATGATAACGAGTACCGTATTTTTCGCTCTATTGGACGCACCGGACCACAGGACGCACCTAGTTTTTAGAGGGGGAAATCAAGGGAAAAAATATTATCCCCCCCCAGCCCCAAAGAGCAACGGACAGGCTGCACGCAGCCTGTCCACTTCTCCCAGACCTTCTCGGGGCTGCGGGGGAAGCCCGGGTTCCCCCCCCAGCCCCAAAGAGCAAAGAAGCCAAGACAGCGCGCGGGGTCTATAGCTGCACAACCTCTCCAGCCAGGAGCTAAACCTCTCCAGTGCAGCTAAAGAAGAAGACAAGGCAGCAAGCGCGATCCATCCCGCTCGCTGCCTTGGCTTCTTCTTTAGCCTTGCGCAGCATCTTTAGTCTTGCGCAACGGGATGGATTGTGCATGCTGTCCACCGGGGCTGGACTAGATGACTCCTGGGGTTCCCTTCCAACCCTGCAATTCTATGACCTCGGAAGGTGTTTGGGGTCTCCACCACTGGAGGCTTTTAAGCAGCGGTTGGGGGACCATCTGCCTGGCGTTCTTTAGCTGTGATTCCTACATTGTGAGGGGGCTGGGCTAGATGACCCTCGGGTGGCCCTCCCAACTCTATACAGTCCTACAGTTCTGCGGCAGGAGATCCACAGCCACTTCACACAATGCCCACTCCCAATTTTCATTGGAGAGACATGTGGCTTCACTGTCTAGGTAGGTACCCCCTACCTGCCACACTTCCCCCACCCCACTTAAGCTGGGGGGGGGAATCTGCTTAAGCCTTCAGCAGCGGAGGATCCATGGTCCCCTTCCTTCCCTCCTCCGTAGTTGCTTTGAAGGAGGAAAGTGGGAGAGGAGCTGCTTACACGAGTGTAAGCTGCCCCCCTCCCACTTTCCTGCTTCAAAGCAATCACGGAGGGGGGAATCTGCTGAAGCCTCCAGCAGCGGAGGATCCATGGTCCTCTTCCTTCCCTCCTCCGTAGTTGCTTTGAAGGAGGAAAGTGGGAGAGGAGCTGCTTACACGAGTGTAAGCTGCCCCCCTCCCACTTTCCTGCTTCAAAGCAATCACGGAGGGGGGAATCTGCTGAAGCCTCCAGCAGCGGAGGATCCATGGTCCTCTTCCTTCCTCCTCCGTAGTTGCTTTGAAGGAGGAAAGTGGGAGAGGAGCTGCTTACACGAGTGTAAGCTGCTCCCCTCCCACATTGCCGCCTCAAAGGGAACCCGGGAGGAGGGAATCTGCTGCAGCTTCCCCCACCTCCCGCAGAAGCCGCACGCTCTTTAAAGGGGCGGTGCGGCTTCTCCTGGGTTTTCTGGGAGGTGGGCGGATTCCCCCACCTCGTAGAAAAGCCTGCAGGAGCCGCACAGCCTTTAAAGAGGGCGCCGCTCTTGGGGGCTTTTCCCCCAGGAGGGAGAAGGGACTGCTACAGCCAGTCAGTCCCTTCTCCCTCCTGGAGAAAAGCCCGCAAGAGCGCACGAAGCTTGTGTGCGGCTCTTGAGAGCTTTTCCCGCCTGCCTCCCCCCTGCATTCGCTCCATAGGACGCACACACATTTTCCCTTGCTTTTTAGGAGGGAAAAAGTGCGTCCTATGGTGCGAAAAATACGGTAAGTTAGTACAGCAAGAAGATGAACTTTGGCATCACTTGAAGGGTGCAATTGCAAAATTTATCTCTTGCCCTTTTGATGTATTCAAAAGAAAAACGGATTATAATTTTAGTGAAACTAGAAGCCAACTGTATATCATGAACTTGATGGCTCAAAGAGCAAAAAAAATAAGACCTAGTTCATCCACTCATCAGAGCTTTGTAAAATGTGGACAAAAAAAGCAGCACAAAATGCTGTAAGGTAACTTTATATTTAGAGAAGGAGGCTGCGGGAGGAAGGGGGGGGGATAGAAACCCTGAGGTGCAAACATAATATTTGGTTACAACCCATCACATTTTTAAAAGAAAACAATGAAAGTGTGTAAAAAGGAAACTTAACACAGTATCTGCAAATTTTTCCACTCCAGCTGTTTCACTTCTACTCAGCTAATAGTTTGTGGTCAGTGCTATAAAAAACTAGAAGGAGCCCAGGGCAGCAAACCCATCCACAATTTTTTTTTTTAAAGCATCCTGAGCACTTAAAAACATTTTAAAAACAGTTACAATTAAAAAAAAAAAACTTCACCCAGTGATCTCAGGGTTGCTACAAATAGTATTCTTTAACCACCAAATGCTTGGAACGTTTTCAAACTCCTCCCGAAAGCTAATAATGATGGAGACAGACAAACCTCACGGGGGGGGGGGGTATTCTACAACAGGGGAACCACCATTGAAAAGACCCTGTCACGCCAGCATCAACTAGGCATTGTTAATTTTCTCAAATGACCTAGATACATATATATAATGGTTACTTATTCTAAGTGGACATTGGGATAGCATAGTCATATTTTGGGTTTTTGTTTTTTTTAAGGAGCTAGATCTGCAGGTGTTTACACAAACTTCCTTGGGAGTAAACCCCATAGAACATATTGGGATTTCTGAGGAGGCAGATAATATGATAGCAGTTGAAAAGTACTCCGCCTCTTATTTTTGTATTGTTTATTTATATATCTTATTTACCTGTGTACAGGAAACCCCCCATTTATGTGTGTTCAATAAGTGTGCAACCGTGCAAATGCGCATCACACTGAACCCAGAAGTGACCCCAAAATGTCACAAAAAGGAGTGGGGCAAGGACAGAATGGGGTGTTTGCAGGCTTTTTCAATGGTGTTTCAAATATACACAATTTCACTTAAACGCATGGTGCTTTGAAACATAAACCTTGCATAAATGGGGTGTTGCCTGTACAGAGGTATCATGGTTGTCAAACGTAATCTGTTCCGGGAGTTCATTCAACTCCCGGAACCGTTTGAAAACCAAGGAGCAGCTTCCAATTGGCTGCAGGAGCTTCCTGCACTCAACTGGAAGCCACAGAGGCCATGTTGGATGTTCGGCTTCCAAAAAACGTTTGCAAACCAGAATACTCACTTCCATGTTTGCGGCGTTCGGGAGCCAATTTGTTCAGGAGCCAAGCCATTCAACAACCAAGGTATGACTGCATTTGTTTATTCATTCAATACAACTTTAAAGAGTGTAATAGGTGGAAAACACATTTTCCTTATGTTTATTTGACAAGGGCCAGCTACAGGTTTCAGGTATGCCATTTTGACTAAAAAATCCCATTCATCCTGTTACATACAACATTGTGGTTATATTGGCATCCATCTGCTTAACATTCCAAACCTAGGGAAAGGTGTGTGTGTGTGTGTGTGTGTGTGTGTGTGTGTGTGTGTGTAAATGAGTGCACTTTAGCAAAGCACTGAGTAGTCAATAGTGAGCAAATGATTTATTTAAGTTTTTAAAAATCTACATTACATTATGCTGAAATATGTGGCAAGTTCAGACATACTTGGTTCCTTGCATTGTTTGAAAGGTCAGAATCAAAAGGTTTTCCTAGAAAACCTAAAAATAAAAATGTCAAGGCCAGAACTAGCAATACCATATAGTAAACAGCCATCCAGGTAGATCAGTATGTTATACATATGCCAGATTAGTTTCCTAGATGTACTTTGACAAATGAATTAGGACCGGGGTTTCAGAGGAGGAAAACAACATTATCACCCTGAACTTATGAGCTAGTTTGCTGGCTGGCTTTTACATGACACACATGAATATCTAAGCAGAAAGAGTTTCATGGCTCAGCTCAAAGGTGTTTCCTGCTGAAAAGGTCTGCTGGGTGCTGAGTGATCATATACCATTTTTCAAAGAGCAACTCTTGCTGAATCAGTAAAATTAATTCAGCCATCTGAAAAGAATTACAGAAAAATTATAATGAGTACAAAAGGGGGGGAACCTCTTACTCTGTCAGGGAGATTTAAATATATATAAGCAAGCAGTCACACATACTTCTTTTAGGAGGTTGCCTGGAACTTTATGTACTATATAGTACTAATTTCATACTGAATTGTGGGCTGATTCATGACCTTATTTCTAATTACAGGCATCACTTGTTTTTCTTTTGTTACTCTGCCTAAAACTGTTTGTTCTATTGCATCAAGAAATCATCATGTTGCTTCAAAATTGCACCCATAGATTTACAGCAGCATGCCTCACGTTGCAACATCTAAATGTTCTTGACCTTCTCCCGTGCACATTCACAAGGACCACACATTTAAGTAGTAGCATATCCCTTACAGTAGCAGCACTGGAGTGCAAGGGATCAGAGCCCTTGCATGGTACTGCTTCTGCACAAAGCACCTCCGTGTTGAAACCTCTGTGAGGTTCATATGGAACAGAAAGACCAAAACTCATCTTTGGTGAATACACAAACAGCATAGCCCAACGGAGATAATGTTCAATTTAACGGTCAATTTAGACCTGGGAAATCTTGAGTGCAAATAAATTTGCACTCACAAACTCACTGGGAAGCTCCCAGCCTGCTCATGCAGTCATTCAACCAGCTTCCACTGCTGAGTGGGTGAGGAGAGAACCAACTTAAGGAGTTGTGGAGACACATATTGCTGCTTCACCAGCCTATATTGCAAATAAACCTGCTGGATCACTGAATTGTAGAGTTGAACGTGACCCTGAGAATCATCTAGTCCAACCCCCTGCAATGCAGGAATATGCAGCTGTCCCATGTGGGGATCGAACCAGCAACCTTGGTGTTATCAACCCCAAGCTCTAACCAACTGAGCTATCCAGACTGATGATCCGGCCCACTAAGAACAGAATTTATGGAGAAAGCCTACCAAGACTTTCTGAACTGGCTTAATATAGTGTTTGGGGTTCCCCACCCCAGTGACTATTTTGAAACATTTCTTTTATACTCATGTAATAAACATATTCTCTCTGTGGCAGTGTATTTAGCAGCAAACTAGACAAATAGATGCACTGAAGTAATACACTACAGTGGCCTCACTGTGTCACCAGAGAGCTTTCTATAAAACCCATACTTCTTTCCACGTTCATTTTCTACATAATGATAAAATCTGTTCAAAATATGTATCTGCTTTTAATACATTGGTTTCTCCCCATTCTTAATTAAAGTGCTGCATTCAGCTTCATTAATATCAGCTTTGTATAACAGTCATTTTCCCCCCTGGAAGGTGAATACTAGTGAAAGTATAATCTATGAGGCTTACATACCTGACTTACATAGATGTTTAAATTGAAAGCCTCCCTGAAGGGGCCAATTGTGATCTAAATTTTATCCTCCATAGAGAAATACCTGTCAAGAAACAGGCACACAAAACATTACATTAAGATTCACAATCCATTTACTTTTCAAAACAGACCTCTGAAGGGATACTACAGGTAGAAATCTCACTTCTGTATGCTCCTAACATAAGTATAGCTCGGTGACAAATAACTTGACTTTGAAACTAATCCAGTGTTTTCGTTTGCTGTGCAGATCAGTGCATTGCATCTGTTTTGCTTGATTTTGGAGTACTGACACATGATTTTCACATGCAAAATTAAGAATGACAGAAAACAAAATGTTTAAGGACAAGTACAACCTGCCCATCATCGGTTGCCTGTCATTGACTCTCCATATGCAAATAGTTGCTCCTCCAGTCCAAAATCCAGGGTGACAAATCTGTGCTAGAGAGCAGTTCCAGAAAGTGAATAAAAATAGACATGGTACGTGGATTTCCCTAGCTATCCAATAAACAGGGAGAGACAAGGAAGACAATTGCAGTGATCTAGGGAGAGGCTGCCATCCTATGCACACTTACCTGACACAAAGCTCCTCTGAGCACCACGTAGGGCTTTCTTCTGAGCAGACGTGCAATGGGTCACGTTGCGAAAGAGCAAGAAATGGAGGTTATAAACAGCAAAGGTATCATTGGCAAGGCAGGGAGGGAACAGCACACAATTTATTTTATCACAATTTCTTAATCGTTTAACTTGAACCTATGTGTTATTCCACAATCAATTTTGTTCTGGATGTTTGCATAGGCATTGGTGTAAAAGGAAGCAAAATGTTGCAGGTAGTGGGGTTAATGACCTACCAAGCCAAGACCTGGAGAGAGAAGTATCAGGATGATTGGACTGGTTTACCTGGGAGATTGATCTGACATTTTGTTCTATCCTGGACAATGACACTTCATATACACACCTCGGGTGGTTGGCCAATCTTGCCGCTTACATTTTCCCTCTTTACTCCTATTGTGTATGCAGACATCCAAAACAATGTCAGTAGTTAATATGGAGTTCATGCTGGAGTGATTTTATGAATGACTATATCCAATAATGGTATGCAAATTGGTCACAGCAGGCTAGCAAGGCTCTTCTGCTCTCTCACTCTGCCCACCCTCCATAAACACTACTGAGAGCAATATGAAATTGCAACACTTGGATCAGCTCTACAGAGTGACACTGGGCAGATGCAATGGTGATGGAGAAGTCAGCTTCCTTTGCAATTGCTGCTACAGACTAGAGTCTGGTCCATGTTCAGTCAGCTTAAGTCTGAGTTTCTGCCCTGCATTCTAACCACCATCCCTGCTGTTCCATCACTCCAAGCTCCTCAGAAAACCAGTAGAAGACTCATAGAATCAATGCAGGAATCTCAGCTAAAACATCCATCACAAATGGCACTTTTGTGATTCAACACTTCTGCTTAAAAAACTATCACCTTTCAGAAAGTTCTTCCTGATGTATCAAGAAAGCACTTGATAAATTATGTCACCCACCCAGGTCATCCTCCTATTCCAGAGATCAACCGGGTTTGGACAGGGCCACCATTAAGGGCAAGAAATACCTCCAGAGTTTCTGGGGGAAAGATTCAGACCTTGGGGGCAGACCATCCAAATTGCCCTTAAACCCTGTGGAGGTTAGGAATTTGTTTAAGCAAAGATGCACGGTCCCTCCTGTTTAGCAAATCCAGTGTATGATGCTGACATATGTAGGGGACAGGTGTAATTTGAGAAAAATCCATCATTATCATGGCCATGTTACCTGATGGGCTACATGTCAGTGTAAGGTAAAGGTAAAGGGACCCCTGACCATTAGGTCCAGTCGTGACCACTCTGGGGTTGTGGCGCTCATCTCGCTTTATTGGACGAGGGAGCTGGCATACAGCTTCCGGGTCATGTGGCCAGCATGACTAAGCCGCTTCTGGCAAACCAGAGCAGCGCATAGAAATACAATTTACCTTCCCGCAGGAGTGGTACCTATTTATCTACTTGCACTTTGACGTGCTTTCGAACTGCTAGGTTGACAGGAGCAGGAACCGAGAAACAGGAGCTCACCCCGTCACGGCGATTCGAACCGCCGACCTTCTGATCGGCAAGTCCTAGGCTCTGTGGTTTAACCCACAGCGCCACCCACGTCCCTTACATGCCAGTGTAGGCAGAGGCAAAAAGTGGATGGAGCAACTGATACAACTTTTACCTTTGTACAATAGGTTGCATTCCAACAACAACACAAAAGTCCGCTTCCCCTTCCCACCCTTCTCTCTCTCTCTCTCTTCTCTCTCTCTCTCTCTTCTCTCTCCCTCTCTCTCAAGCACACACTTCTTCATCCAAGCAAGCAAGAGGCATTATCCCTGGCCAAGGATACATTCCACTGCATAACACACTTGAGGGCTTGGAGCAGGGACATTGTGTGTGTGGGGGGGGTGACCTGGGGAAGAGACATGGTCCGAGAACTGTCCTAGGCTGAAAAAGCCTGGAAGGCTACTCTTCACTTCCAGGCCTGAGCTTCTCCACCCTTGGTGCACGTAAAATTATGTGGTGCATGAAAAGAGATGGAATCCTTAAGGAACTCAGCACACATTAGCATAGCTCCGGAGTTGTCTTCTGCAGTGCAGGATGCAAATGCCAGCAAACGGTTAAGCAAAGGTCAGAAAGCAAGTTGATTTCTCTGGCTGAATTCAACCAAGCACATTTGCCCCATGCAGTTCCAGGAAGGCTTGATGACATTCAAAGGCAATCGAAGACTTGCAGGTAGATACCAATGATCTTATGCAGATAGTTGACCTATACTCAGTGCCCAACCGGAGAAGGAGGAAAAGATGCTTTGATTCTTATTTGGTTCAAGGATTAGTGGACTTGGATTCCTTAAAAAAAGGAAGTTTTTTTTTCGCATCTTAACCTGCGGAAATGGGGGGAAATCTCACATGCAACAAGATTGTTCTTCAATTTAAGTTCACATCATATTCACATTAAATAGACAGCTTGGTTTTGTTTTGAAGCACCCTAGGCAAACCCTTCCACACATACAGATGAGTAAATTAGCACTTTCAATGTTAACTTGCTTTCCTTATTCCAAGGTAAATTGATTAATGGCAGTTTTACTTCTACATTGTCCCATGTAGTCATACACAATTATTATTCTCATGTCTCCCTGGAGAAATTGTGGTGCCCAGAAGCGTGCAAACATACTTATTTGTCTCCAGAAAATGTTAACAAGTAACTATCAACTGCAACACTGTACAACAGGGGCGGGGGAACAGTTCAAAATAAATATTCTTTTCTTCTTCAACATGTTTCAGTCTTGAGTGTCAATACTTTTGTAGGTCTTTGAAAAGGCCAATCCCAAATATATTCAAGTGCTTTCTAAAATTACAGCTCAGTTACAACCACTTTTTGATTAGCTGGCGTAAAGTGCCCGAAACAGCTTGTAAACACTTTCAAACCCCACTTACTAAATGTTGGAAATATTATACAGTCATCAGGTACAGAACCTTTAAAATAGCTTTTAGGAAACATTTGGCAATTCTCATAATTAGTCAAGAGTATACAGGCATAAATGGATACTGTAAGTTTATCACAGCTTTGACTGTTGGTTTCAAAGCCATTCCTTCTACATTCAAGCCATATTCCAGATAAGCTAACAGAAATGAATTTGGTAGATGTTTATTTATAGGTAATGTGTGTGCCAGGGGCAGACTGAGGGAGGCCTTGGATTCAGAGAATCCTACCCAGGAAGAAAATGAATCCAGTCCTGATACTGGCATAGGGAATTTCCCTCCCATAGGAACCAATGGGCAGAAAATAAAAGAGGAAACACACAAAAATTGCTCGGGGAAAATCTGCCACCCCACAGTCTCTGCCCTGACTGGTGCAAGCCCAAAAGGGCTTGGATAGGGTAGTTTCTATGCCATGAATGCCTCCCCAAATAAGATTGCTATTACATAGTCCAACATTTCAGAACACTTGCTGCTCTTCCATTTATTTCATTGCAATTCTTTACATAGGGTGACATCACCACCACCTAATTTTAGTGAATATAGATCAGGAAGATTATGGCTGTTGTTGTTTTTAACAAAAATAGTAGCACTGGGAGTGGGGGGCGGAATCACTGGTTATTAATCTGTGGAAGACAAAGCTTTATGGTGGATTTAGATTATATTTGTTCTAAAATATTTGGCAGCCTGTGAACTTTCCAGTACAATCCTATACACGTTTACTCAAAAATATGCCCCACTGAATTCAATGGAACTTGGTACTAGTGGGTTTAGGAACAAGTACAATGCACTTTGCTGAAGGATGCCACTGTATAAGACTCCACAGCTAAAATTTGTTGAACAACCAGGATGTTCAGAGAGCACAAGCTGGCTATTGCACACAATCCTTTCAGAAAAAAATTGTTTTAATCAGTTCTCAGCTTGGTGACAACCAAATGTGTCTTGTTGAGCAAAAACCCACTTGTGCAACAGGACTTTTGGTTTCTCTTCTCTCCTCCAGCCTAGTGAAGTATCTCCAGAAGATCCCTCAACCCTCTGGAGTAACCATTTTGGGAATGGGGACTGCAGGGGAGCAAGGTCCCATTACTGTATGTGATCACAACAGACATCCATTCATGTTATGTTGAATCTCATCTGTTATCTTAAAAACCTACTATAATTTACTATGATCAGGCTGCTGGAAAACATTGTTAGCGATCATGATGGGCCAGCCAACAGAGCGTCAGGACTTAAATCTTTGCATTCAAATCTCAACTCAGACATAACAAAAATGGTCTCAGGTCAGTAACTCTGAGATTGTTACATTTCCCACTGAAATCAATGGGGATTGTGTCTAAGTACATATCTTTTGAACTGGAAGTCCAGCTCCAACCACATTTTCTCAGAAGTGGGATTTACTTCCACGTCTGAAGGCAGCACTGTTTAGGGAAGTTTTTAAGGACTGATGTTATTACAGTATTATGTTTTCAGGTATGTTGTAAGCCCCCCAAGAGTGGTTGAGGAAACCCAACCAGATGGGCGGGGTATAAATAAATTATTATTATCATCACATATGCATGCCTTGAATTACAACACTGATTCTTCAATGGTTTAAAAAATGGAAATCACGATCTAGCACATGAGGCTTAATAAGATACCAGCACCTAATTCACCCTTAGAAAGAGCTATTTAACGAATGGGACTGCTTCAAGGTTAAGAATGCAGCTTCAGTACTTTTGTTCATCAAGTACTGTGTAAGTTAGCTGCCAATTCAAAATATTCAACAGTAAATTTCCATGGTAAACTCAATTGTTCCATAGAATTCTATTGTGTGCTATTCTTTTCAACATCCAGCGATTTAATCCTCCACTTGCTATGCAGCGGCACTCATTTAATTAGGTAGTTCCACTATGGGACATCTGATAGTATATTGTTGAGAAATAATCCCTGCAATAATTTAAAATCCACAGCAGTGTTTCCTGTACTAGGAAAATAAACGACTGTCCAACATTAAGATAAATTATCCAACTTCAGTGTAGACTGGAATCTAGCAGACTACTATAGAAGGCCGCATGGCTGTCTAACCTAGCATTTTGCTTCCAACTGGCTAACCAACTGTACTGGTGTCAACAAAGCACTTTTCACTCACGCTACTGCTTGTAGAAGCCAGACATGTTCAGGGAGGAGGAGCAGAAATTTGTTAACTATGCAGTTAATTCTACAAGTGACCAAGAATCTTGAGTGATGCAATAGTGGGCATCTTTGGGGGATGGATGGAAATAATTATTTTAAAAAATTAAGAAACCAAGACATGTAATCTGCACATTTCAGAGAGTGTGAATTCCAGCCATTCTATATATCGCACAGAGCAATCTTCCCAACCTGGTGCCCTCCATATTCTTTGGTTTAGAACACCTGTTAGTCCAAAGCATCTAGCGAATACCAGGTTTGGGAAGACCTGATACAGAGGCAAATCAAAGGTATTGCTCTACAGAGAACTGCTGCCCCACAAAGTTCTGAGATAAGTGTACCTTATAATACATGCGTTTCCCAGTTTGCAGCATTCCAGCTGGCTCTGTTCTATTGAAAGCAGTGGGACTTGATATATATAAAACTGTGTCCCAGCTAGTTTTTGGAGATGGAGAGAATTCCATTTAAGTGCAGAATATGTAAAAAATAAAAAAATCAAGCCCAGCTTTATTTTACTGACTTAAGAACACACATTTATGACGCACCAAGAGCAACAGAAGAGAGGAGCGCAGCCATGCTGTTGTCAACATTTTATCAAGAGGTATGAATGTTGTGTTCCCAACAGATGCAGTCCAAGAACGACACCGGTATGGAAGATCTCATTTTACATCCATTTATTTCATCCCATGGCCATTTAAAGCATAATAGTCAATACATTTCTAACACTACAGAGAAATAATACCAGGGTGACCAGAGTATATATACAAGCCAAAAATAAAAAATAAAAAAGATGTGGACAGCTGAATAAGAGTATGTATTCAGTATGGAATCCATTGAACTTCATTCAGCTCAGGCTTTGTTCTTTAGGGAACAAGGTGCTAATGTGCCACTCTCATATAAAGTGAGTGTAATTGCTTCCAAAGCAAGTTACTGCTGAAAACATAGATGGAAGCAAGTTAAGTGTAACACTAAATTTCACCTATAAACCTAGGAGCAACACTTCCTTGAATCAATTTCCACCCTCCAACACCATTACTACTCTGTATTTGTTTTTTTGTGGGTTTTTTTTTTGTTTTTTACAAAAGCCTACTGTTTTATTAAGGCATATTTTGCCCTGAGCAATTTTGGTGGAAATTAGCCCAAAAGTCTAAACAGTTAAAAGGCAAGCACCAAGTGACCCTTTTGTAGACAAATATAGCAATCTTTTTTGTTTGTTTGTTTGTTAGCTCACCTATTAAGCTGGGAGTAACATACAAAAAGTATTGCTCAACAATTTGGTAGAACAAAAACTTTTTTTCTTTTCTTTTTTACTTTAGGCCAAACTTCCAAGGCTGACAAGCTTAAAGTTAGGCACTGAAGTAGATGCTGAAATGGTTAAGAAGTCGCATGTAAGATTGGACCTTTGCTGTCTTACACCTGAATTCAGGCATCCCTGTTTGAAAACTCAGGCTAAGCCCAAGATATCCCAAACAACCACAGCCAAAGTGTCAAGTCAACTCAAGCTAAGAGATAATAATCTAATGTACCATAAAGTGGTCCTCAAGGCTCTGACTACACACATATCCATTCTAGCTAAAGTCAACTTGTGCAAGCTTGTTGTGAACACATTTATCTTGTCCCCCCCTCCCCCCAGATCTGACATATTAGCCAATCAATATGTCCAAAGTAGCACAGGTTATTCATTCAAAAGCCAATGCACATCTCTATTTAGAAGGCCTGAATGCTCTTCCCTCTACAGATACAGCTTTTAAGTAGGGCCAGAAGACCACACAATCCGTAATTTAGAAATAAAGAATAATGTTAAGTGGCAAACAAGTGCCTTCTTTTATACAGATTTAGACAATACAGGCTATCTACTAAGCTATCAAGAGTATCCAGAAAAAGAAACACAGCCAATTCTACATTTTATTCACATTTATTTTTCGCTTTTAGTGTGCTCACAGAAAATTAGAACACCTTAAGCAGGAATTTAATAGCAATTTTGTAAGCAAAGTTACATTCCATCTCTAAGTCAAATTGGTCAAAGCTTCTCCAGTATTTACAAAAACATGATAGACAAGATGCTACACAAAAACCATTGCATCTGAAACTGGTTTTTATTCTTTATTCTGAAAGACAACTGGAAAAAGAAAGCATCGTCTGCTGTCATCAAAAACATACCACAGTATAAACAGTAACCATTCCACTTATCACAGCTTGGTTGAGTTTAAAATTGTGTGTGGTTTTTTCTTTTTTTCTTTTAAGGTCCAAGATTACTGCAATTTTACAAAAAAATAAAAATAAAATGGGCAGGGTGGAAAAAGTTGCAAACTTAATGTGCTTCTGGATATCAAGATTTGTTTTTATACAATAGTCACAGTTAAAAACACCCTGCTGGTAATACATAATTACACTTTATTAAGGTCATAAACCAGCAATAAACAATAAAGCCTATACAACTTGTATTTCTACTTAATCACTGACTGGTACAGCTAACATGAGATAAGTGAAAGTTCCTATGGTTTAAATGAATTTCCTAAGACTATGATCTTTTTTTTAAAATCTGAGTATTGGAATTTTTCTTCTTCCTTCTTAGTCAAGACTTGTAGTGTTGTAAACCTTATAGAACATCTGCCTCACAAAATACATTGTAATAACTTTCTTTTTTAAAAAAGACTAACCCCTTATTTCTTGTGGCACATTTTCTTGGCAAATTATCTGCACCACTAATTCCCCACTGTGACCCCTTATCACTTCATTTGCTATCCCTTTATTGACCCATCCATTTCCTTCATATATGGGCATGTCCATAGATTGACAGAGAAAAAAAAAGTTTACATTTTGAGTAAAAGATGCAAAGTATGCAAAAAACATTAATACTGATGCAAAAAAAAAAAAGAGGAGGAGGAGGAGGAGGAAGGAGGCAGAGGGAGGCGTTTAGTCTCTCCTCTGCCGGTTGGAATGGTGGTAACAGAATGATCTGAGATGGGATCTGTGGGTAGAGACAAAAAAGAGAAAGACATCTTTTAAATCAATCCCTGGTTGTAGACAAGTTCTCCAGAACCAGTACCTGGCACCACTCCAAACAAACAAACGGGGGGGAAGAAAAGTTCGATCATCTCAAAATTGCCAAATTTTCCTCTCTCTCTCTCTTTTTTTACTCTGCCGACTCAGCTGGTGGAGCTTCTGGACTAGACTCGGACGGGGCTTCCTGTGTAGGAGCTGCCACTGCCGCCGGCTCCTCTGCTTTGGGCGCCTCTTGCTCAGTTGAGCTGGCTTCGGGGGCAGCGCTGGGGGCAGCTGGCGCCTCTTCCTGCTTCTCCTCGGGCTTCTGCTCTTCGGCAGGCTTGGCCTCCTCCCCAGCAGGCTTCTCGGGCGCAGTCTCTTCCGATTTGGCCTCCTGAGAGCCCCCGGCCTCCTCTTTGGCCTCCTCTGTGCTGCCGGTGGCGGCGGCGGCAGCAGTGGAAGGAGACGCCTCCTGGGCGGCCGCTTTGCTCTCCTCCTCGTTGCTGGTGGGCTCCGGGGTGGCGGCCGCCCCTTCCTCTTTGCCCCCTTCTCCCGCAGCGCCTGCCCCTTCGTTCTCGGCTCCTTCCCCAGACTCCTTTTTGTTCTTTTTAAAGGAGAAGCCGCTTAGCTTAAAGGACTTTTTGAAGGAAAAGCGCTTCTTTTTTTTTTTAGGGGTCTCGTTGCTGGACGAAGGGGTGGCTGCCTCCTCGGCCTTGGAGGAGGACTCCCCTTCGACGGGAGAGGCCGGCTCCGTGCTCTCGGCCTCGGCCGCCTCCTTCTCCGAGGCAGCCTCCGAAGGGCTCTGCTCCTCCTTCACAGAGTCCTCGGCCGGGGCGCTGCCGTTCGCCTGGACCTCTTCCTTCCCCGCCTCGGCGGCTGCTGGCGAAGCATCGCCATTCACCTTCACGTGGCCGTTCTCCTGGAAGAGATGAACTCAGCGTTATTCGAGGAGAAGGGGGAGCGAGAGGAAGACGTCAAGTGCAGGTGGACACAGGACTATACACCCTGCTTGTGCCATTGAGGCACTTTCAGTCAAAGGGATATGACTCTAGTCAAAGGAACCTAGCATTGCACAAATCAGCTTGTGTGACAGAACTCCCTGGGCCAGCCACGGCAGCACGTTGCCAGCGACTTTCCCGCTGCTTTTCCCCAGGAGCGCGCGTGACGCAATGGCCGGGCTCTGGAGAGGGGAGGCGACGCCATTCAGACGCAAGCCCCTCCTCCCCGCGCCCTTTTCACTCCGGCTCGTCCCTTCAGGGCTCCCCCCACCCAGCTATTTGGGCGCGGCGTCAAGTCAGCGTCGTTTGGAAACATGCCGCGTGGCCGCCGTCCACGCTTCTTCTTCCCTTCTGCGATTTATTTAACACTCCCCCCCTCCCCCGCGCGCGAGCATCACCCATCATCACCACCACCACCTTTTCTCAACACACCCTGCGAGAATCGAACGAGGCCAAGGCAGCGAGGAGTCTCCGCCGGCAGAGGGCACTGCGGCTCCATTTTTGCCAAATCCACCCGAAGGAGGAGCGAAGCGCCGAGGGAGGAGACTTCGGAGAGAAGCGCTGGCGAAGCAGGAGGAAGCGTCGCCTTGGCCAGGATCGCCTCTGCTGGGCGAACAAAAGCTCCGTCCGCAGCCGCAGCTTCTCCCAGCCCCTTCCTTCTACCACCACCTCCTCCTCCTCCTTCTTCCTGGTGCCAAACGGAGAGACAAATCCCCACCTCCCGCCCACCGTAGTGGAAGGAGCGGCGCCTCCGCTCCCCAGCGCACCGGTTGCCTTTTTCTTTCTATGCAAAGCGCGCCTCCAGCTCCTCCGTGGAGCGGCGAGGCGACGAGACAGCAGCTGCCGCTAAGAGGCGTGGTGCAGCCCGGCGCCCTCCACAGCGTGGCGCGCACGGCCGAGAGCGAAGCGCCGCCACATGCAACATGCACATGCACGCGGTTGCAGGCGCGCAAGCCGCCCGGGCTGCCCCACGTTCAGCCCGGTGCCGTCGGCACGCTCGCGCATCCCTTAGCAACAGCTCTCCAAAGCGCGCGCACAGCAGCGCCTCTCCGAAAATCTCGCCCTAATCTCCCACCAATGCCGGGAGAGTAGCCTTGGCTACAACAGTAATATGCACACCGGGGGGGGGGATCTCGTAGTGCCGTCTACGATCAACCACATTCAGCGTGTGCCGCAAGCTTGTATGCAGGCAACCGACAGAGCGAAGAAGGATCCAGCAAGCAAGATGGAGAAGACGGTCTCTTAGCCCCTTCCCCAATACACACGGACAACTCTCCAGCGCCCCCCACCCACCAAGCACCGCTGTCGCTTGCCATTGCCTTATCACTACCAAGCTCCACTACACTCTCCTCACGCGCCAAAGAGGAGAAATTGGGGGGGGGGGAGGAGAAAGAACAGAAATGGGGTTGCTACAGGATAGGAAGCCATAGAGAGAGAGCACACGATCAGTTCCAACCAAGAGCACGAATACACCAAAAAGGTCTTCAAAGATGCCGCCAGTCTATAAGAAGCAAACTGTGCACCCCGCCAAAGGGAAAACACATCTCACTGTACACAAGCATCTAGCAAATTTCTGCCTCCACCACACTACTACGCCTAAAACACTGGGTCCACAGCAGTGCGAAAAGCCACTCCTTTTCATTACCATTCTTTTAAAGGGCTGTAGTCAAGATTATTATTTTTTAAAGCCATGCATCCCCACCAAGCAAGAGAGCGGGAGCCGAACGAAACACCGTGCACACCATTTATTTCCTTCAAAGCGAGAGAGACATCATTCCATTATCACCATTCTTCGCTTCTCCCCATTGCACCCCGCTTACCTGTCCATTCGCCTTCGAAGGCGACGCAGGCACCGCTTCCCCGGGCTTCTCGGCGGCGGCTTCGCCTTTTGCAGCGTTCTTGGAGAACTGAGCACCCATGCTGGTTTTATTCAACAAAGAAACTCAACAGATCCAAAAGAAGGGGGGAAACAAAGAGCGGTGGGTTCGTATAAATGCTGGGAGACCAGCAGCCTGAAGAGCAGCAACACAAACACACACCAGAGGGGGAGGAGGAGGAGGAGGAGGAGGTGATGGGGGTGGGGGTGGGAAAAAAAAGAGAGAAGACAACCGATTATTTTAAAATATGTACACTCCCGGATTTTTTTTTTATTAAAAAAAAATTAAAAGCTGGAGAGGTCAAAAAAGCAGCAGCGCAGAAGCAAAAGGGGGGAAAAAGGAAGGAGGAAAAAAGTCGAGCAAAAATATTAGAAGCCCAAGGTTAGTACAAAAAAAGAAGTAATAAAAAATCCCAGATTTGTAGCCGTACTGTAGACAAGGGGAAAATGGAGAAATCTCCCTGGTCGCTAATAAGATGCGGAGTCCAACGCCCAAGTGCACAGATGAATGGGCTTCCCGAGCGCTGACGGCAGCCCCCGCCCGCCGCCGACCAATCACGGCGCCGCCAGACAAAAGAGGGGGCGGGGCCTCCAATTGGAGCGAACAATGGAGCTGCGATTGCAAATAATTTGAAATCGGCCTTGGACTGATAATTAATACTCCGAAGAATATAAATAAATTAATGAGATTAGAGCGTGCACCCCGATTTCTCTTTAAAAAGCGGGGGAGGTGCGCGGGGGGGGGGGAATCGAACGCTGCACGGTGGGAGACAGAGTTTATTTCCCTTTCCTTTCGCTGGCGGACGAACACTCCTCATAAAAAGCGGGGGGGGGGGTGAGGAAGAGGGAGAGAAGGTATCCCTCTTCTTGCAGTGGTGGGAGCCTCTGTTTGGTGTCTGTCTCTCCGTGTCTTCCTTCTCCTCCCCCCCCCCCAAGCCCCGTGTTAAGTTAGAGACAATGGTTTGACTTGTGTGTGTGTTTGTGATTTCATCTTCTCGCCCCCGCTGCCTCCCCCCCTTCCCATGCCTCTTCCTCCTCCCCCTTTTCAGCTCGAAGAGGTGGGTGGGGGTGGAGGACTCAACAGATATGGAGGCTCGAGGTTTCGCCCCCCCCCTTTAATTGGTTGCAATTGTTCAATCGTCCCAATTTGGAAGGTATTTAAACCACGTAGATCAAGTTTCGCCAAACGAGATCACGAGTTGAACGTTATTAGGTCTGTAGGCCAGATGTGAAAAATGCTTCCACCAGCTGCTGCCGTCGCCGCTGCTGCCATGGCTAAGGAAAGGGAGAGTGCCCTTCCCCCCATCAATATTGGTTTGAAATAAAATATTTTGCGAGGAGTCTACGGGTCTAATTAAATCTCGCTGCCTGATTAACTTTGATTTGTATCTAATTTTTTTTTTTAAAAGCTGCCGAGACTGCAAAGCCCCTTTAAAAAATGATGATGATGAAATGAAGCCAATGCCATCAAGACGAGCTGCTTGTGTGTTTTCCAAAAAGAGCGAGAGAAGCGTCCACGTGTACTTGGAAAACGCTCCTAGCCAAATGGAACGGGAGTCTCGATTCGTTTCCATGTGGTGCACGTCGGAGCCATGATGGCTTGTGTGCAAACGCGAATGGTCTGGATTTCGACAGAGGCAGGGGAGGGGGCTTCCCACCTTAAGCACCGCGCAGCCCGATCCTATACTTCGCCTCCTTCCCTTCCCCCACCCATCGAAATCCGTGAGCTTTGGGCACACCTAGCTTTGCATTGTTTAGAGTACAACCCTAGCATAGCTTCATGGTGGGCTTTCTCTCCCCCCCCCTTTCCGCCCGTTCAGTTTAAATGGCTACAGTGGAGTGATAGCAAACGCCGAGCGATCTCTCCTCTCGCTGCTTCGAAAGCAATCGCATCACTCAGGATACCAAAATGCCGGTGGGTTGAGGTTGGGGGGGGTTGATGGTTTTTAAAAGGGGGTTTGCAAAGCAGCAGCTCCCCAGCCCACCCTTCTCCCTCCCTACGGACTTCATTGTGTGATGGCTCCAGATTTGTGCACTCACTGCCGTTCAGTAATACCCCCCCCCTTGCCAACACTCTAGTATTTTTAGCAAGATGGCACTCAGTCAAATAATATTTAGTTTCTTGTGGGCAAAATACACCACGAGGCATTTGGTTTTTACATCAAGCTTTCCTCCTCTCTTTCCCCCCGCCCTCCCCGCTTCCTTCCTTATTCCCTCGCCTCCCCCGCGGTATTCCTTCAAATGCAATTCCTTTCTCCAGCCCGGAGGACGGGAAAAATGGATCGCGTGGTGGAAATCCATTAGTGCCAACCGCGATTTCTTTGTTTTAATCATTATTTCTCGCTCTTTTGGAAAGGGGATGGGGGACGACGACGACGACGACGGTTTTAGACACGCTGCTTCAGCTCGATGCATTATTCACTCTCCAAGTTTATTCCCCTAGAGCCCCCCCTTTTTTTTTGTAGATGTGCATCGTGCCAACAAACAGGGCTTATCGCCCTTTAGGGAAATCGGGCAGGCAGCCGGCAGCACTAGTTGATGCAAACCGACCGTGTGCGTGTGTGTGCGCACATGTGGCAGTCCCCAACCGAAACGTCATCTGGATAAATCCATTAGCATCCAGGTGCAGTTTTGGAGCCTGTTGATTTTTCGTCACTGGAACACCACCATATTCCCTTCCATCTCCATTATTTGGGAGCTGTCGGTTTAAATCGCTGCTGAGAATCCTGTCTTAGGAGGAAGAGGAAGGAGGCAGCGGCGGCGACGGCCACAGGCATCTCTTGCAAGCATCTGCATCAAAGGGAGGGCAAACTGAGCTAGTCTGGGGACTCCTTTCTTTTCTCTCGGCCAGCCTCATTTGAGAAGGCTCGGCTCCTTTATTGCTCCTTTGTTACCCCGGCTGCATTGCTTTTGCAGGGTGCCTATTTACACGGTATCGGCTGGTTGCCTAGGCGACGGCCGGGGAAGATTCGAAAGGGAGGGGAGGGGCTCGCGTGAGAGGGAGGGAGGGAGCGAGCAAGCGAGGGCGAGGCGCGGCAGCACCAAGCAGATGGACCCTCAAGAGGGGCGGGGGGTTGGGTGGAGAGGAAGATGGGCTGCTGGAGTTGGGAGGAGACTCGCAAAGGAACCAGCTGGAAGAAACCCCAAGAGAGCAAAGGAGCTCTGAGAGCGGGGAGGGGGGGCTCATTTCCTTTCTCTGAACAACTTCTTGGAACCATTTCCAAAGGGGGAGCCATGTTTGTTGATTATTTATTTGTTGCATTTATTCCCTACCTTTTCTTTTGCCAAAGTAGGTTAGGCTGGGAGGCAGTGACTGGTCCAAAGGCACCCAGTGAGTTTTTATGGCCAAGTAGGGATTTGAACCCTTGTCTCCCAGGTCCTAGTCCAGCACTGTAACAAAGGAGCCAACTCCTAGGGCTGAGGTCCTTTCAACCCCCCACCGAAATATTTGAAGGGGCTGCCTCCCCCTCACCCCCAGTTCATGGGCATTGCTATTCAAACCGTGTGCATGCACTGCATCTTGTGATAATCATAATAATTTTATTATTTGTACCCTGCCCATCTGGCTGGGTTTCCCCAGCCACTCAGGGCAGCTCCCAACAGAACACTAAAAACAGAATAAAACTTCAAACATTTAAAACTTCCCCAAACAGGGCTGCCTTCAGATGTCTTCTAAAAGTCGGATAGTTATTTATTTCCTTGACATCTGATAGGAGGGTGTTCCACAGGGCGGGCACCACTACCGAGAAGGCCCTCTGTCTGGTTCAGTTATGATCAATTATGCAGGGTGGGGCTTACTTCCCCTCCCCAAATTTTATTCAAGTTGTAACCATTATGCTGCAATGGCTCTCGGCTTGTTAGCCTACTGTAGCAAAACCAACAATGACAAAGTCTTGTGGTACCTGAAAACCTTTCACACATTTACTGTGACATAAGCTCTGGCAGACTGTGTGGTGCATAGGATGAAAGGAACTCAAGTCTATGAAGACATACCTGGAATGGGAACCTCAGCCAGCATGGCCAATGGATGATGGAGCTCAGCAGCGCATGGGAGGGCCCCAGGTTCCATGATGCATTTGTTAGGCTTTCAGGTGACACAGGAGGCCTTGGCTCTCATAGGAGTAGTTGGGCAAACATACCGGTAATTCACTTTGGAGTCCAGAAGTTGATACAGGAAAGGGAAAAGGTGAAGAAGAAAAAACAGGGTGAGACAGGAAAAGGGTGGAAAAAAATCACATGCAAACTTACTCTCCTTAGAGAAAGTGTGGTAGAGCTGCCTAAATCTGGAGATAAATAGTTTCCTTTCAAGACACCAGAGGAGGATCAGTATTTTTCCTTTCTGGTGGGACTTGGTGCCATTCAAAGCTGCAAGAGTAGAATTTCCAGAAGTTCAGAATGTCTTTGTATATGTAGATCAGTGGATGAGGAGACTGCTGTGCTTGCAGCCCTGCCTGTCATGTTGAGGCCGTCCTGTTTTCCCCAACATGGGTGGATTCAGATGTTTCCTGGTGGTAGTCATTTTGAAAGATAATTTGGGAAATGTTCCTAATACAGGCAGGTGTGAATTAAGCATTGGCCTAAATATTCACACTGCTGCATGTGAGACTGGCTAGCAGTTTCACTTCTTTCCTGGCTGATCAATGAGTTTGTCTCAGTGCCTCTTCCAAACTATTTGGCCCAATGCTACAAACAGCTCTGGGTTGAACCACTTGGCCTGAACCAGTTTGTGCCCGTAGTGAAGTGATGCACTCAGCTAGCCACTTCTCTGTGAGCTCACTGGGCAAGCCAGCTAAGGACTCTGCAGCATTAAGGCTCCCGGCAATTTAGATAAACAGTGTAGCAAGTGTCTTTACACTCTTTAGTTATTATAGCTACAGGTGACACACCAATTGTCCACTTCCATGCAGGGGTGGTGACATTTTAACCTGCCTTAAGTCAAGCTAAATGCAAGAGTTAGTGTCTGGATTACTATGGAGTTCCCTATTTCACTCTCACCATTCTTAGTATCCATGTAAATGAAAATAAACAAATCTTAATGTAGCAGCATTCAAGTCTCGTTGAACAGAATGGAACTTACGTCTGCGTAAATCTAGGTTGGGCTGAATATCATAAAAGAATAAGACTGCACTCCTCTGTATGCTTACTCAGGAATAAGTCCCATTGAATTCAACAGGGCTCATGCCTGAGAAGATCACACTGTACGTGCATTTTCTACATTTATAAATGATGTGATATGTCATAAACCCGGTAAAGACAACTTTACACTGAAAGGAAGAAGACAAATGGAAGAGGAAGTTGCATTTAAACATTCGTTTAAAAGTCACACTACAAATCTCCAATAAATGTGCTATAAGCACCAGGCATCCATGTACCATCCCTTTACTCCCCAAAGGATTTCACAGTGCTTAATTAATTGAGATATAAATATAAGCTATATGCACAGGGAGCACTTATGATTCCTAGCGGGAGTATATGCAATTTGGAAAATTTACACCCTGATCCTGAATACATTAAGTTGGAGTAAGTACCCTTGGTTTTGGAACTTACTTCTGCATGCTTTATTCATCATATTTGTCTCATACATTTTCTGTGAGATGCTCAGAGAAGCCTGGTGTGTATTTACTTGCACTACAAGCCCCTGATGTTAAGTTAGGCTGGGAGAAAGGGTTGTACAACTCAATGTGCTTCATTGCTGCATAGGCAGATGCCCTACAGGGTTCCCCATAACACTCTGGTCACTATGTTACACTAGCATAGATAAGCA